AGATGAAGGGATGCGGGGGCTTGGGGGGTTGCATGCAGCATCTGCTTTGGGAGGGTTCTGCTGCGCTCAGCCAAGGGAGATGGGAGGGAGGAAAAGTGGGTATGAACTAAAGGATTTAAAGCAAATGAGGAAAGGCAACATCCTTCCTAGCAGACACCCACCTCACACTATGAGCACTGCATGGGCAACAGCAGAGCCCTGCACATGGCACAGGTGTAGGTGCCAACATCCCAGGGATCCAGGCAGCACCACCTGTCCCTGGGCACCATCTACAGGGCAGCTGTTAGGAGTCCTTCAGCCAAATGGGAAAGAGCAGGCAGAGGCCTCAAATCCTATTTTTCCCCAAAAAGGAGCACGCAAAAGATTCACTCTGCAGGACCAAGATGACCACCTTCACTACTGCACCCACCTCATTCTCTGCCACACAACAGTAAAGCCCCACATCAGCACTGATGTCAAAACCACTGTATGATGGCAAAGGCACCTTGGGGATGCTTGGCTTCACCATGAGTGCTCCCAGAACGTACAGCTCAGTGGCAGTCAGGAGAGAACTGAGTGCCTGTGTGGGACCCTGGCAGCCACATCGCTGCTCTGTCAGGAGGGAGCAGGCTGAGATAGGAGGTGTGCACAGGGAGCAAGAACTGCAGCCTCACCTTGGATGATCAGCCTGGTCCTCCCTGTGGCAGTAAGGACCATGCACAGCCAGCATCCTCTGTGGAGACCCAGAGGAGGTGCAGCTACCCACTGGGGAGCACACTGAGCCCAGGCCCTGTGGGGACAAGCAGAAATAAAACAGAGAAGAGAACAGAGCAGCTGTGCTGGGATACAGGGACTGCTCTGCCTGCACAATTGTACCTTCCTAGAGAATCTCATGGCACAGCTGCAGGGGCCATTGCACACAGCACAGAACCTGGAGCACCTCCACTCCTGCAGGTGCTTTGGTGCAGCCACACACAGAGTGGTGCCAGGCTGCTCAGCCACCCAGCCCACCCGCAGACCTCAGGCTCCTGCTCTCCTCTTCTGATGCCCACGTTGTCCTTCTGCCAGCTGACCACTGGTGGAGGCACCCCGCAGCCCCACGGGACAGCACTGCACTGCTGCTTACCAGCACCACCACCATGGCAGGCAGTGGCTACACATCAGCAGGGAAACACTGCAAGCAGCACCCAGAAGAGCTCAGCCTCCTGCAGGTCTCTGCACAGCTCTGGGAATGGTTTTGGAACAGTCCCTCCTTGCTCTGTCATTACCTAACCCACCCAAGGGCCAACTCAGCTTGGAAGTGCAGAGTGTGACACGTGCAAGCAAAACTGGTGCCTGAGTAGTCCCTGCTCAGGTTGGAAATAAGGATGAAAAACACAACACACTCCAGGAAGATTAGTGAGTGTGTAACCTGTACTGTTCTACCCCCAGATCTCTGTCTCCTCTGCACCCAGGATCTGCAGGACTGAGCTGCAGTCTGCCAGCCCTGTGTAATGTGATGGAAAGTGCAGCAATGACAGCAGAGCTACAAGGTCCCAGACTACAGCAAGGGAAGATTTGCTCAAATTCAACAGCCATAGGCACAGAAATAAAGGAAACAAGCTGCTTACCATCAGAAGCCCTCAGGAATGCAGGGATCTCCAACAAGATCTCCTTACCTCTACTGCCAACCCTTAAATGAGGTCTGGGCAGGGGTGGATCCTGGCTCCAGCCCTTATGGTCACTCAGTGCATTGCATACACCTGAGCTGCACTGGGTTGGCCCTGCTTCCCACCAGGTGCTCAATCACTGCTTCAAGCTCTGATAGCATTTCAGCTACATCCTGCCTGGCTGGAGACAATGCAGGTGCAGAGCCTGGCATCAGAGGGCTGCAGCTGGGAGATCCCACCCCAGTGAGCAGGGCACAAGGAGGATGTAAGCTGGCAGCATCCCTTCCAAAACATCCAGGGCTGCAAACTTCTGGCTCCAGCTGGGCCTTGTGTCCATAAGACTGTGGCTTGCTCAGACTCCGATGCAGCTTCAGCTGCCCTGCAGTGCTTGCTGTGCTCTGCAGTTGATGCTCCCTGCTGCTCACACCTCCTGCAGCTCCACCAGTCTGTGCTGGCTCCATGTGGAACCAACAGCATGGGCTTCCCAGCCACTCCTGCACGTGGCATAGAGCAGAGCTGGCTGAGCATTGCATGCTAGGGGCACGGTCAGCCAGGTTGGCCAGACACAGCCTTATTAGGTAGCACTGTTTGCTGTGAAGGTGACCTAAATATTTCCATTATGGGATGCTGTTCTCATAATTACAGCTGGCTGGAAAATGGTAACTCCTTCCCATGGGGGATATCAGTTTTTGGAAGAAAAAAAAAACAAACCCTAACACCCAGAAACCTCTGAAAAACAAAAACAGCAGGACCCAAAAACCATCTGCCCCAGCCAGGATAAGGTGGGCCAAGCAAACAGTGCCTCCCTGGGAAGGGATCGCAGGAACTAGCAGGATGGGGAGGGTCCAGAGGTGAGGATGGGCTCCAGGTGATGCTGTGACCCAGGGCACACAGCCAGGGGACCAGTTCTACACACAGCTTCTCCACATCCCCCCCCCAGTGTTCCTGGTCCCGGCAGCACCTGTATGAAACTGGGCTTAACCCCTTCCTCACTGGAGGTGCTCCCACCCAGCAGCACCTCTGGGTGCCCACATCCAACCCCATCGTTTGGAACCTGTGCCCATCCTCACCCTCTCCTTGCACAGCTGTAAATCCATTACATACGTACAAACCTACACATTATCTGAGCACTGCTCCCAGCCCCAGAAGCCAGCAGCAGGGTATTCCCACGTTCCCCATTTGCTGTCCCTTACAGCCCCTGCCCATGGCACACAGCACTGGACGCTGACAGCCCCAAACCCCATGGCACATCACAGACCACTTTGGTACCATCATGAAGCTTTTATTTCCACCGCCACAAAGTTCCTGGGTTTATTTCTATTTGTTTGTTTGTTCCGTTCTTAAACGGGTCAGTTTGCTTGGTTTGCTCTTGGATTCATCTCAAGACAAGGCAGCGGGGCATGCAAGCTGAGACACCGGCACAGGAGCACAGACAGCTTCACCTCCATGAATGCAGCTCTGCTGCTCCTCAGCCCGGGGTTCCTGCAGCACTGCCTCCCCTGGGGGAACCCTGACCCCAAAAGGAACCGAGGGACCCAGGGAACGGCAGCTGCAGGGCAGCAACAGCACGTGAACAGAGAATGGAAAGGAAATACAGACACTGCTTATAACCAGGCAACACTGATGGACAAATGGTGGGAGAACACTGCGGTCACCGATGGGGAAACTGAGGCACGAGGAGGTGAAGGCTGACATTCCCAAGCGTGAGAAGCTTCAAGCCATACTTCCATTGGCACCAGGAGTTGTGGGTCTCAGCGATGCTGACAGAGGATATGAGGCCCCTCGGTGCGCCCAAGGCAGGAGCCCCACGGGAAGAAATGTACAAGGAGAAAAGAACCCCAAAGCCTTCCAGGCCAAAGTGGCAGAGCAAACATCTGTATCTGTCTGGTGTTACTTCTAATGGGGCGTCCCAGTGCAGCTCCAGCAGTGCCATCAGAGCAATGCCTGGCACCAGGAGGGCACCCATCCAGCAGATGGGAGGTGGTGGAGTTTGAGTCACTGCAAAGATCTACCCAACAGAGACGTGTTTTGGCCACAAAGCATCGAGAAGGGAGGTTTTGGGGGGAAGGAGAGAGTGATGCCTTCTGGGACACCCAGCACTGAGACACTGGGGCAGAACCGTCCCGACGGGCTCCTGGTGGCAGCAGACATGATGTCTCTTTGGGGACGGGGAGAAGTGTCTCAATAAAGGCGTGTGAAAGCATCACAAAGTGCTGGCTTCCCAAAGGTGCAGGATCCCAAATGTCAGCAGGGCAGAGAAAGCATCCACAGCCCCACAGCACCAGGCCATCGTGACATGTGAATGTAAGATTCAGCCCCATAGGGACACTGCTGCCGTCTTGTGAGCGGTGGGAGCATCCCTCAGAACATCCTGTGTGTCCAGCTGTCACCTCCTGGGGACATCTCTGTGGCTGAGAGCTGTGTGATGAGCACCAACTGCTGCCATCATCAGCAGTACCTGGGATGGACGAAGGGGGTGGGGATACTGCTGGGCCAGGAGCAAAATGCAGCAGGACAGGAGCACGTTGCACACTGCTCCCAGATCTCTCCTTCTTCAGCAGTGGATGGAACCAGCAGGGATGGCATCTGATGCTGTGAGGTGTCCCATGCAGGTGGGTGCCCTCTTCCAGCCCTTCACCTTCCTGCAGGGAGGAGTGTGGGTGCACACTGGCTCCTCTCTTGGTTTCCAGCACAACTTCCCACGGCCTCAATAGGAAGCAATGGGGCGACCCCCAACCCACTGCCCTGCACGGCTGCCCCTGCTCTGCCAATGGAGGAAATGCACCTTCCCACCTTTCCCAAAAACACCAACAAGGGAATTGGCTTGAAAGCAAAACCCAATGCTCAGCTCCATTAATACTTTTCACGCAGTAAGAAAATGAAAAGCCACAAAGGAGAATGCTCCAGCACCGGCTGCCTCCTCGTCTTGCCCGATGGGGAGAGAGGCTGGGGAAAGGAATGGAAACAGAGAGGAGGGATGGGGCTGAGCAGCCCTGGTTGGGCAGGAGAGGGGAAAGAGAGAGAGAAAAATGCAGGAACGGGGCTACGGGGAGAGGGAAAGAAGTAAAAGAAGTGCAGAGTCCCTTCCAGTGCACGGCAAACAGCGGGTGGAGGGGATTTTTTGGCTTGGTTATTGCAGGCTCCTGGTGCCCTGCAGTCGTGTGTGGGGATGTAAACGGGACAGATGCCCTCAGCGAGGTGTGGGACACACACATGGCAGACAAAACGGCAGCAATGGTTGCAACAAATAAATAAAGGTATCCGTCGTCGGCAGACGTGTAAAAAAAAGCCTCCCTTCTTTCCACAAAATGGAAAAAAAAAAAAAAAAAAAAAAAAAAAAAGCACAATACTGTCTCACCAAAATAATAATAATAATATTAATAATATTAATAATATTAATAATATATATATATATCCCTATAGCCCCTGTGGGCTCCATCCCCAGCTGCATCCCGGAGAGGCGCATCCGCAGTCCGACCCCAGACTGTAGGAACGAGGAGCAGAGGGGCTCGGGGCCAGGGGGGGCTCTGCCTTCGGTGCCGTTCCCTCAGCCCCCAAGTTTTGGGTGTTTGCTGCCGCTCAGACCGTGGTCTTTTTTGGGTGGTTTTTGTTTTTTGTTGGAAAAAAGCAGAAGTTGGCAAATGGCACCGGCGTTGGTTCGGAGCGCAGAGAGGGGCGTGAGCTGGCGCTGCGCTGCATCCTTGGCTCGTGGGACATGGAGGAGGGCCAGAGAGGGGCAGGCAAGCATCGCTGCGTGGTCGGATGGCACAGAGAGCGTCTTCCCCATAAGCTGTGGGAGAGGAAGGAGGAAAGGGAATCCGTGTGAGGACTCGCATGAGGGTGGGCCACAGCCCCCCCCCCGTGCTGCCAGCTGCTGGGTGCGTGATAATGAGCTAGAACATAAAGGGAACATTTAACATCGTGTCACCCTGGAGCATCCCCATGTCCTGTATCGCCAGCTGCCTCTGTGCCTGCTCTGCAGTTCCTGCAGCACGGTGCCGCAGGCCCTGCTGCCACCTGGCAGCTTTTATTGTTTTATGGCACTGCAGAGCCTGGGGATGTGCTGCGGGATGGGGACGCACCGGGAGAAACCCATGGGGATGGGGGAAAACATCCCCTCCCCACTCCCCCGGGGAACTGCCCATGCTCTGATGCTCAGCACAGAGGGAAAACCAAAGTGGGGATAGCACTGGGTGAGTGGGATGGGCACAGCAGACCCCCCCACACAGGACTCACCGCCGCTCGGCCCTGGGACTATACGAGCCCATCGTAGAGGGAGAGGGCTTGCACGATAGAGGGGTCGGCCTTGGAGCCCTCCTGGAACTCCTGCAGCGTCAGCTTCCCATCTGCGTTCTGCAAAACGTGGCAGTGGTGTTGAGACACAAACCCTACGCCCTGCACAGCCCCACACAGCCCCCCATGCACACAACAGCAGGGCACTGAGTGCCTGGCGCATCCCTGGGGCTGTAGTGTGGAACTGAGATCCACGATGGGTGGCGGAGGGGAAGGAGCAGAGATGCAGTGAGGACCCAGAACTGCCCCCCAACCCCTAGGAAAACAACCCCCGAATGACCGCACCGCCCTCACCTTGTCCATCATGGCAAAAATCCGATCCACCCTCTTCTCTGGTGTGTTTTCCTCCTCGGGAAGCTCCACAGTGTTTCCCTATGGCAGCAGGATGGCACACAGTCATGGGTGGACATGGGGACGGTGTCCCCAGGTGGGGACTTGCACTGTGTCCCACCCCCAGAGCTTACCACCATCTGGTAGATGGCGTCCACAATGTCCAGCATCTCGTTCCTCGTGATGTAGCCGTCGTTGTCCAAATCGTACAGCTTAAACGCCCCTGCCAAGAGCCACGTGGAGATGTTGGGGCTCCGTTCCCATGGCCACAACCAGATGGTCACTGTGCCCCACGCACCCCACACAGCCACCCCAAAGCAGGGTGCCCACGGGCAACACTTACACCTCAGCTTCTCATCCAGCGTCCCTCGGGAGGTGACAGACAGCGCCTGGATGAACTCTGAGAACTCAATCCTCCCGTCCTGGGGGGGAACAGAGGAGTGAGAGCAACCAGGGAGTGAATGGGACGCAAGGGGCATCACTGCACCCACCGTGCCCCATGGCCATGCACCCTGCCTGCAGCGTGCTGACTTGCCTTGTTCTCATCAAAGACATTGAACACGAAGGTGGCGAATTTGGTTGGGTCACCAAAGGGGAAGAACTGCTTGTAGATCTTTTGGAAGCCGGCAGCATCGAGTTGCCCACTGGGGCAGTCCTTGATAAAGCCCTTGTACCTGGGGAGGGAGCAGTATGGTTAGGATTCCATCAATATTAGAACCCAGGACCCAGTGGGCACCAAGTGACACCAGTGACACCAAGCGGTGGCCAACCCCAGTACTGCCCAGAATGGGGAACCGTGCCATGGCCACATCCATGTTGAGCACTGACCAGGGGAATGGGGACAGGGGTGGGATGGGGATGGGCAGGAGGATGGGAAAGGGGATGGAAATGGTGATGGGGATGAGGATGACAATGAGGTTGAGGATGGGGACGGAGATGGAGTGGGATGTAAATGAGGATGGGGATGAGATAGAGATGGGCAAAAGGATGGGAAAGGGGATGGGGATGGTATTGGGGGTGAGGGTGAGGATGGGAATGAGGATGGGGATGGGTATGAAGATGGAAAAAGGTGATGGGGATGGTATTGGGGGTGAGGATGAGGATGGGAATGGGGATGGGGATGATACTGAGGATGAGGGTAAGGTTGAGAATGGAGATGAGGATGAGATGAGGACGGATATGGGGATGAGGATGAGGATTTTGATGGGGACAGGAATGAGAGCCCAGCACAGCAGCTCCCAGCCAGCACAGCCTGATGCTCCATGCTCATGTGCTGCAGCCAAGCCGCAGCAAAAAGTAATCACAGTGCCCTGGGATGTCAGCTGCGCAGCCAGGTAAGCTGAGGCAGCACAGGGGCTTTTGTGCATGAGCACATCTGCAAACTCCTCATAGGAACTGGGGGTGTAGCAAAGCTTCTACACCTCCTGGGACAGCATGGCCAAAGACAGAACCACAAAGCATTGCCACAAGGAGGTGCAACGCCTCCAACGCTGACAGGATGCAGGGAAGGGCTCAGGCAGCTCCCTGAGTGTGAGGACAGCGAGGACCTCGCTGGGACCCCGCCGTGTGCAGCACATTACACAACCCCTCACCCAGATCTGTCAGCGGGCCGAGGGCTGGGGGAGGAGGGGAAGGGGGTGGCGAGGTGGGAAAGTGAAGAGCCGGTGACATCTTCGTGCTGCTGCAGCTATGACTCATCAGGAGGGGGGAGAAGGATGAGAGAAAGCGATAAAGAAAGAAAACCTTGACTGGATTGATGGGGAGATGAAAGGGAAACGGTGGCTTTTTTAGGGTGGCACGTTTTGGCAGCTGGAGGGGATGGGGTGAGAGCCGCTGCCGCAAGGCGGCCCTGCCTCCATGCCCCTGGTGTCCCTGCCTATGAGACTCTGTGCCCCCTCAGGGCTGCATTGGGGTACACATCAGAGAGCCCCAGCATCCCCACGGGGACTAAGCAGGAGAAAAGGCAGCCACCACTGCACAGAGCCACAGACAGAGGGAGCGGTGTGCATGCGATGTGAGGAGCCAAAATCCCCGTGTGCTGCTGTCCTCCCCTATGAACTGCATGCACCCCAAGGTCTGCCTGCTCCTGCACTGAGCTCCAAGCAGGAGGGGTCCCCCAGCACCCCCAGCATCTCACCGCCACGCTGCTACTCACCACTGCTGCACCTCCTTCTCTGTAACTGCAAGAAAAGAAAAAAAGAAAAAAAAAAAGAAAAAAAAGAAAAAAAAGAGGTCAAAATAAATAAAAATAGGAATGGAGTGCTTTCGTGCTTTCGCAATGCTGAGTGATGCTCTGCTCACCCCAGAAGTGAGTTCCAGGCCTGCAAGCACCTTCCTGGGCTCTTCCCATGCCTGCTGGGACGCCGTGGGCAAAGGGGCCGTTGTCCTGCCAGTGCCCAAACCGTGCAGAGCACGTGGGATGGAGTGAGATGTGGGCATGGCTGTGGCACAGCGTGGGCATGGAGAATCCCATCATATCCCCCGTGGGAGCACGTGAGCAGGGAACCTGCTGCCAGCACCCCAATTGTCATTTCCCTCGCCTCGTGCATCCAAATAGTAATAATAGAAAAGCAAGAGGGCTGAAACGCGCCGGGATATCGAGGCGGAGCGGGGATGTGTCAATGTGCAAACAGCTGATAAAAATAGAGAGCCCAGCACACCAAGAGATGCCAATTACCTCGGAAGGCAAATAAAAGAAAGCGGGTTTCCATCAGAGGGATTTGCAGCGCGCCTGGCAAAAGGCACAGAGCGGCTGGGGGGCTGCAGGGGGTCTGGAGAGGGGAGAGGAGGGGGGCTGCAATGTCACAGCAGTGGGTCGGCTGGGGGCTGTGTGGGCAGCACAGGGAGAAGGGCGTGGGGATGCTCAGCAGCGGGTTGGGGGCATGGGGGCTGTGGCTGTGGCATGAGATGGATTACGAGGACATTTTGGGGGTCATGGAGGGGATCGCAGGTACCGGCCTGCCAGGTGCTGCTGCGGGCAGCAGGGGGAGGAGGAGGAGGACCTGGTGCAGCTCTCGGCTGTGCTTCCCCCTCTGCGCTATTTCGGTGCCGGGAGCTGCCTTTCAACTCCAGCAGGAAACAATTAAATCCGTGCTTTTTTTAGTACAGGAGAAACGCTGCTAACGACACGCACGGAGTCGGCTCCCTGGCACACACAGGGCACCACCAGCCCGGGGCACTGCCTGCAGGCACCGACCGGGAGCCTTCTGCATCCTGCAGGGCAAGACCCCCTCACTCTGAGCTTTACACCCGCGGCGACAGAGCCGGGCAGCCCTCTGGGTGCGATGCTCTGCAAGGCACTGATGGAGAATGCAACCACCATCCTTGCTGTGGGATCTATGGCTGTGCAACGTGGGGACACGCCGTGCTCCCAGTCTGGGCGCTCCATCCTCAGCACGTCGGGGTGCTGAGCAGCTCCCTGCACACAGCCCAGCACACGCAGTGTCTGCATGCCGACTGCTGCATTCATTCCCTCCCGCCGGCATCGATCTCGGCACGATGCTGAGCTGATGCAAATCAATTTGCAGCCATCCAGCACGGCAGGCTTGACCCCGAGCGCTCAAGGACGAGGGATTACCCGCAGCGCATCCCGGTGGAGCAGCAACCCGCTCTGCAGCACCCAGAGCACAGCCCCGGGGTGGTGCTCCCCATGGAGCACCGAAAAATAGTGCATGAAGCAGAGTCTTAATGGATGCGGCGTGCCCCGGGATCCTGTGGGATGCAAGGCACCAAGGCTCACTGCTGGTATTTGTGATGAACCGTAATGCTGGGAGAGGCACTGCCCAGCGCTGCAGCCGCACTCCTGGAGGCACAGTGCTGTACGGCAGCTTCAGTGCTGCTGCCCCTTCGTGGTGCTCATGACTCCATCCCATCTCCATATCCATCATCCCACCCCACCTCCACACCCAACGGCTCCGTGCCATCTCAGCTCCCATCGATGGCTCCATCCCATCTCAGCACCCACCGCAGCCCCCCAGCCCTGCCTCCCACCCAGCAGAACCCCCCTCCCCTCTGCCCGCTCCTCCCCATGGCACACTCAGCGGCTGACAGCGCTGTCACCACCCACCCTCTGCGTGCCCCCTCCCTTCCCACCACCCAGCTGCTGCTGCAGCAAGAACAGCTCTGGTTAATCATTGCTCCAGCCATTAATTGCAGGGCTGTGAGGGCAGCGAGGACGCGCCATACCCACGCGGTGGGACCATGGCAGGAATGGGGATGGAGCGCTACAGGGATGCAAGAGAAGGTGCAGGGATCCAGACCCCAGCACCTTACAGACCCTTTCTCTCCCCTCCTGCTGCTCCCCGAGCCCAGTGGGGTCACTGCTGCCAGAGCAGGAAAGCAGAGTTAATTATTTCCAGCCACAGGCGGCACTCAGCTTCCAGATGACCGACAAGCTGCCTTCACCTCCGCTGGATGCTCAGCACAGCACCCAGATTGCACGCTGAGCACGCACGCAGCTCACGTGCACTTGTGAGCAAAGTGGCAGCTCCACACACGTGATGGGGCTCTCACACTGGCAATAACGGTGCTGGACGGGCACTCGTGCAAAAGCCAAAGGGGGGACGGACTGCACGTGGGGCACGGGGCACTCATGCACTGAGGCCACGCCGACTCCATGGGTGCTCCTGCATGATGCTATTGGTTCTCGTGCATTTATTGGGCGCTCGTGCAAGGCCTTATTGAGCCCCGAGGAGTAAATGAGTGTAATTAGCAGATCACACTCTTGTGCACACACCAATTGGGCGCTCAGGTGAGTGCCTCAGGTGCTCATGTGGAAACGAATGGGAACCAGGGGCAGCAGTAACCACAAATGAGCCCTATGGGCAGAACGCAACCAGGCGCTTGGACGTGCGTTAATTGCGCACTGCCGCGTGCGCTAATTGGGCTCTCATGCGTGAGCCCATCGGGTGCTGATGCGGATCTCTGCGGGGTGCTCATGCATGAACGGATCGGGCTGTGATGCGCACAGCAATCCGGAGCTGCAGCACACCCTGCAATTTGTGCCCAACGCTCCACCCCTCACCGTGGTGAAACACGCCGTCAAGAATTGGCTGAGGATAAATCTGCTATGAACTCCACTCCCAACATCATCGCGGTGTTCGTGCGCATCGGTGACGGAGCAGGCGGTGGCACCAGCAGGGATCTCTCCCTGTGCCCGGATCTGCATTTCCTGCTATGCATGGAATCAGGAAGGTCACAGCAGAGCTCCCCCAGCCCAAGTGCAGCCCTATAGATGGGGCTATGGGGTCACCACCAGGGCCTGCAGGCTGGTGCCTGGGGACATGGCAGAGTGACGGCAGTCCTTCCATCTGCCCCACGTCAGCGCTTTGAAATGTGGGTTGCCTGGCCCTGATGGCTCGTTTTCATTACAATTCTGGATTAAATATGTAACCAATGGCCTGGTTACACATTGCAGAGCTCGCTGTCTTGCTGCCCCCTGGGCTCGGGCTCGGCCCAGGGATCAGGCTGCTCTGGAAACCCTCTCCACTGTGGTGCAGGGAAAGCGGCTGTGGGTCCCCATGGAGCAGCTACCCCCATGGACACATCCGTGGCTGTCCCAGAAAGTGGGGCTTCTGCCAATCCAAATCCTGTGTACCCCTATTTCCACCCCACTACCCCAGCAGCACCCAGTCCCAGCGGGCACCCATCCCACAGCATCCCAGAGCCAAAGGGTTGACACACATTGGAAGGTGCACTGCCACATCCCACAGCCAAAGGCCACCCAGAGACATCCCCATCCCAAGCCCTGGCAGCTCTGAGGCCGGGCTGCTCCTCTCCCCATGGATGCACACTGCAGGCACTGGGATCCTCGGGGACACTGGGGGCACAGCGCTGTCATCAGCACCATTTGCTACTGTGAGGTGGGAAGTGCAGAGGGAACTGTGTGTGCCTGGCATTGCTCACAGCAGCTGCCATCGGGCTCTGCTGGCTGCAGGCTGAGCAGGGCCACAGCGAGGATGGGAAAACCAACACGCAGTTAAAATCCTTTTTAGACCTTATGAAATATTTAAGGGGCTGATGTAAAGCTTTGGAAATTGGGTTCGGGACAAAAGCAGCAGAGGAAGGGCTGAGGATGGTCCTCGTGTATGGGGATGAATGAGTGGCGCTCCCGTCAGCTCCATCCCCAGCACAGGGAGCCCACAGCACCATGCACTGAGGAGCCATGGGGGGCTGCCGGGGGGCTGTGTGGGATAAGGTTGTAACCCTGGCTCTGAGGAAGGCAGGGAGGCACAACATGAGCACACGAGCATCGCCCTGAGAACAGAAGGAGCGCAAAGCATCCCTCCCCGGAGCAGCCGCTTCCTTTGATGCTGTCGCAGCCTCTTGTTTCACAGCCTTAATTATAACAGCAGCAGCAAAGGTCAGCGCAGTGGTTAAGCAAATCCATTAACGTGTCGGGGGATCTGTGAAATGTGATGCTCCCAACGCCATTGCAGAGGGGCCCGAGGTGCCACCAGCCACCGTCCCCCCATGGACACAGGGCTGGGGGTGGAGCTGACACCCCAACACTTGGCAGAGCAGAGCCAGGGCACGGGCAGTGAGGAGCTACGCCTGAAAATTGGAGGATTTTCCCTCTTTTCCCACAGAATTCAGCCAGCCGCGGCACACCCCGTAACTCCAAATCGATCTGTTTGTAGGTTGCTCTGAATCTAATGCCCATTAATTCAAGGCATTACTGGCACGCAGCAGAGCCAATTTTGTGGCTCGCTGTAGAAGAGCAGAAAGTGACAATGCAGGAGTCGAAAGTCCACTAAAGAGAGAGCAGTGAGCGGATATGGAAGGTCCCTGGGACACAAGTGCTGCAGCCCATGGCAGCATCCACAATTGCATACAAATGCTTTGCACCAGAGAAACATTAAGGTTGGGGAAGACCTCCAACCCCAACCCATCCCACCATCCCTCAGTGTCACATCTCCATGGGTCTGGAACACCTCCAGGACGGTGATCCCATCGCTCCCTGGGCAGCTGTGCCAGTGCAGCTCTTTCAGAGAAATGTTTCCCAACACCCAGCCTGAACCTTCACTGCCACAACCTAAGGCCATCATCTCTCATCCACTTGCATTCAGTACTTGGACACGACTTTCCCTGCATCCCAAGACCTTCACAGCAGAACCTTTTGACCTCAGCCACACAAATTCAACTCCCTGCATTCCCAAATCCCACTCCTAACCCCCATGCTGTCAGCAGAACAACCACACACCCACATCCCTGGATGCCCCATCCCTGGAGGCAATCAAGGCCAGGCTGGATGTGGCTCTGGGCAGCCTGGTCTGCTGGTTGGTGACCCTGCACATAGCAGTAGGGTTGAAACCAGATGATCATTGTGGTTGTTTTCAACCCAGGCCATTCTATGATTCCATGATTCTGTGATTCCTGACAGGACAGTGGCTCCTGGAGCCCCACCAACACCTCCTGGGACACTCAGTGCAGCACTGAGAGCCACCGCCATGACGATAAAGCACTTCAAGATCTTTTGGATGAAAGGCTCCGTGGAAGCACAAAGAATTACATAATTTATTATTCATTATTATTTGACGCTGGCTCCTCCCATGGATGGGACTTGGGCTGCCAGGAGGGCTGAGCCCTCTCTGGTTCCCCCCATAGCACTGGTGTGTGGGCACCTGGAGATGGGTCAGCACAGCTCGGGCAAACAGAAGATGATGCAACAGAAGGAAATCCCACTAGGGGAGAAATCCTGACTGTACTGCAGCCACAGCTCTCAACACCATGGGCACATCCCTGGGACAAAAGCATTTCCCCACCATCAGCTCCCTGCCTACAGCTGTCCAAGTGAAGAAGCACTCGGCAAAAGTAATTCCATCCAGACACAAGCAGTGGAATGAGCTCAACAAACTGAGCCTGGCTTTAGGGATGGCTGCAGCCGATGGCACCATGCACTGCTGGGGGGTGTTGGGACGCTGTGTGAAGCACAGCCATGTGCTGTCCTGCTTGGGGACATGCGCAGTGCACCTCGGAGGAGGCTTCACAGGCTACTTCTGGGCAGCCTGGTCTGGTGGTTGGCGAACCTTCCCACAGCAGGGGGGTTGAAGTCAGAAGATCATGATGGTCCTTTTCAACCCAGGCTATTCTATGAGGACAGGTGGCTTCTGGGGAGGTGAGTGGGAAAGGGAGGACACCCAGGAGGTGCAGAAAGTTGGGAATGGAGCCACGAGGCCACAACCCTGTGCCAGCCTCATCCAGCAGAGGGGACGTGCAGTCACTACAACGGGTGGCAGCAGGACCTGCAGCCTGTGTGCCCTGCGGGGCAGCACCTTCCCAGCACGGACACGAGCACAGAGCGGTGCAAAATGCCCAATGCAGCACCGCTGCTCTCAGAGCTGAGCTGTGCCCCCACCCTGCCCCCCTCCCTCTGCACACTGACAGGAGCAGCCCCGCGCGGGGGTGTGCAATGCACCAGCGATGCCTCCTCTCCGTATGGGAGAACTCGCTGCATCCTCATCTATTGCCTTTTTGGGTAAGCGCTGCCGTGGGACTGCAGCAATGACAGCGGGAACACTCGCAGGTCTGGCGGGGCACGGAGCCGGTTCTCCGCTTAAAGCTAAAGGGGAGTGAGCGGGGAGAGGAATTGGGAGCACCGGAGCCTTTGTTTCATCGGTACATCCCTCAAAAGGGAACAAATTAAAGGCGTTTTGCTCAAAGCGGATCGGGCATCGGCTGCGAGAGTGAGGTTATGGGGGGGATCCGAGGGGAAAGGCGCTGGCTCGGGGAGCAGGACGTTAAAGCAGACACCCGTGGCGCGGGGCTCGGAGCGAAACGACAAAGGAACCGCCGAGAAACGCACCGAAGTTCGGGAGCCGGGGGGGCAGCGCCGCCCGGGGGGGGGGTCAGAACGTGCGGGGCTGCGGAGCGGGGCCGGGGGGTTCGGGGCAACACGGCGGCCAGCAGGGAGCAGGATGCGGTCCCGGATGCTGAGCAATAGGCCGCGGAGCGCAGCGTTCGCGGGAGAGCCCCGCGCTGCCCTGCCTGCCCGCCTGTCCCTCTCCATGTTTTCTCCCTCCTCCTTCTCGGCTCAGCGAGGAATTCTCGCAACAAAGCCGGGGCTGAGCCTGCGCGCTGCGGGAGGGGCCGGCCCCGCCGCGGTACCCGCAACCCCGCGAGCATCCGCGGGGCGCAACCGGCGCTCCCCCCCTCCCCCATCCATCCCTCCGACCCCACATCCAGAGCCGCGCTGCCTCCCCCCCTTCCCCTTCACACCGCGGTCAGGCCCCGCTATGCACTCACAGTACGTTTTCCTGGTCAGCTCCTCCACAACTTCAGGCTTCAACTTGCTGTTGGATTTCCCCATGGCGATGCGGAACGGGCTCAGCGCGGGGGCATGGAGGGCTGCGGGGCCGGGAGCGGGGCACGGAGGGCCCTACATCCCGGGGAGGAGCGGAGCGCTGCGCTCTTTGTTGCCGGGCTTCGGGGCTGCGGAGCTGCGGGGCCGCTCTGCGCCTCCGCGCGGCCGCTCCCGCCCCTCTCCGCGCTCCCTCCGCGCTCCCTCCCCGCCCTCCGCGGGTTGGGGTGCGGGGGGGGGGCCGGTAACGCTCGGCCCGACGCCGCCGAAGCTCAATGGGAGGGAGAGGGGAGGGAACGGGCTCTTGTAGGGCGGCAGTGGGAGGGGGGATGCTCGTCCAGGGCCGGAGGATGTGGAGGGAGAGAAGCGGCGGTGTGAGCGCAGAGGGGAGTGCGGGGTGGGAGTGACCTCGGGGGGACGCACCCGGATGCAGAAGGGCCCCCCCGGTGCCGGCTGCCCGCTCTCACGCCGGGATCCCCGCTACGAGCCTGCCTTCATTCATCGCGCAACGCGCGATGCAGCCCGAGCTCCATCCCTTCCGTGCGCCCGGCCGGCGGCGGGCCCGTGGCACAAAAAGCCGAGCCGTTTTCCCCACCTCAAAACCAGGCAGGGCCGGATGCCCCCGCCGCAGCTCCCCGTGCATGCACGCACTGCCGTGAGCCGCGCCGATGCACGAGATAAACGCGGCTCCCTTCCCGCCCGTGTTGCAACGCGGGCCCCGCAGGAGCTGCCCGGGCACGCTGGGCTCCTGTAGCAACAGCCAGGAGGAACAAACCACAGATCTGTGCTTGGATACGGCGAAACCTGTCTGCAGGGCTGCAGGCAGCGCCGCGCCAGGGCGGCTTTTGGGGACAAAGACCCTCCTGCCACCCACACGCAGGCCACAGCGTCGTTAGCTCGGTGGCCAAAGCTGCAGCAAAAGGCCCCGCGCATCCCCTTCCTTCCAGCAAAACGCCCATCTTTGCAATGCTCTCCTTTCGGCTGCGTGCGCCGAGCTGTGACCGTGTTGCAGCAGGGCTGTGCTGAGTGTGTGCAGAGCATGGCACGGCCTGGAGCAACCACAGAACAACCCACAGCCACAACCTGCCCCGCATAGATCAGGCATTTCAACACGAGCTCTGCAGCCACAAAAGTGATGCGAAAGGGATTGAATTCTATTTAAAACTCTCCCCTGCCTCCACCACTGAGAGAACTCAATAGAGAGCTTAGATCTCACCGAGGAGAGGAGAAAAGTAATCGGAAACTGTGCAAGCCATCCACTTTCTCTAATTATTAGCTTGAACCTTGCCACTGCTTAAATAACAGCACCGGTGGCAGTTGCTGGGAGGCAGCAGAATGCAGCCCCCAAACCAACACAGCGGGAGCTGTGGGTGGGCAGAGCTGTGCAGAGCTGGGACAGAGCGCTCTGCTCCCTTTGGGCTTTGCTAAGAGCTTCCTTGTGCCCCAGGAACAGGGCAGCAGCAGGGAGAGCTCAAAGCATGGGGGAGGAACGCACACACACGAGATTAATGATATCAACTGCAAAAAGAGTGGCTATTTTAAGGTTAATGCTTAACGATCCTGAGTCAGGCAGAAGAAAAGCCAAAGGAAAGCAGAGGCAGCAGCGTGGCTGCGGTTGAACTGGCACAGCCAACCCCCAAACAGCTGCTGCTTTGAGAGGGAGGGTGAAAAAAATTCCAGCAGAATGAGTTCAATTTCCTGGTGTAACAGCCACAGCAGGCATCAAACAGTGCCCATCCTGTCCTGGGCTGCTGGGTGCAAAATGCCCTCAGCGCAGCAGTGCCTCGGCCAGGTCTGAGCCCAGAGAAACGGGGCTGGGGGCAGCACCAGTGGGACCCCACAGCCCTCAGGAATCAGCCTTCATGACCCCGAGCACAGCAGCACGAAGCCCAGCCAGCTCTCCACGCCAGCTATCGCTGTTATAAATTCATTTTGGATAGCGTGGCTTTAGACAAAACACAGCAGAAATAAAGCAAATCAGGTCATCGGGTAAACGGGCGCAGCAGCCGAGCCTGCAGGCTCTGCTCCCAAGGAAGTGAAACGCAGACGTGGAAAGCACGGCGGAGCTCTGGAAATAGGCACAGCCCTACAAGGCTGTAGGAGTGACAGCAGCCCATGTGCTGAGCGGTACAGTTTGCTACGCTGGTAATTTCTCTGCTCAATTCTAGTGGGTTTTGTGTGTGTGCGTGTTTTTGTTTGGTTGGTTTTTTTTTTAAAGCCTGTTCTCTTTGGAGCCTGCGGGGCTGTCATTGTGATGCCGACGTGGGAACACAGAGGGGTGGCTGCAAGAGGCAGCAGCTGGGCTCGGTGTCCCCGTGCAGCGAGCAGCTGGCTGAGACAAAGCCGAGCAGGAGGCGGCGGGGCGATCCTCGGCGGAACGCTGCAAATCACAGCTGGCACCTGGGAGAACACCGGCCCTCCTGCAGCGCAGCAGCCGCCTCCTCCAGCCTTCAAATGCTGCTCGAGAGCAGGCAGCACGCGTTTGTCGGGGACGGAAAGCGAAAGGCTCCGTGCAATGACAACCAAGAGCACAGCTGCAGCAGCTTTGTGCAGCGCAGACCCCGCTGCGCCCACCGGCAGCATCACAGGGGTCAGAGAGGCTCCAAAATCCCTCTAAAGCACGTCTTGCACCTCCTTCTTTCATTTTACTGCCCTAAGAGGTTGTGCTGTGCCCTCCCCTCACGCTGCTCTGATTCATGGCACTGCACAGGCACCGTGGGGCCGGTAAATGCCAGCAGGTTTTATGCCGGCAGGTCTTTCTGCTGAGTTTGAGCAGCAGCAGTTAAAACCCGACTTACCCAGAATACAGATGAGGGAGCACAGGTAGCAGCTTCGCCGTAACGCAGCACGTTCCTGCTCTGCCCAGGCAGCAGCCACGATCACCCCAGCTATGTGCAAGGTTTAACAGTCACACAAAAACGAACCCCTAAAGCAGAAATTACGCATGCGATGTGCTTCACACAGAGATAAGCAAATGGAAGGAGAGCGAGCCGGCATTCAGTGCAGCTCGCAGCTGATAAGGGACTGCTCCCTACAGTACATTTAGCAGTGATTTGTCCAGTCCACCGTTCATTATCTGAAAGAACACAGAACTTCCTCCGTTTCTCCGGGGAAGGCTGCCTGCAGCCAAACCAGTCTCGTTGGCAGAAGGCTTCTCCTGACATCTTGTTTTCCTCCGCTTTCGTTTCATCTCATCTCTCTGCATCACAGCCCTTGAGCCACGCTAATGAATTCCCAGTTCGTTTCTGCAGTTTCTCCCCATGCAGCCATTTTGTACTGCGCTGCACCATCTCGCCTCTCTAATCACCATTTAGACAGGCTTAGAGCTTTAATTCTTGTCATCTTCTGTCACTGCCCGCGTCTCTCATCTCACCACGGCCATTCGTTGCAGTCCCACCAGTTTGACCAATGCCTCCCAACACAAGATGCGTCCCTAAACACAAAAGTTGGGCTTCTTCCAGGAGATCAATATCTTCATTAATAGCTGGGCCAGGTGTAGGATTCCTTCTGCAGAGCAGCTCTATGGGAGAGGCATTTTCAGGCATGCTGAGGCACTGACAAACGCTCTTCCACACCCCCTGTAAGAGCAGAGGATGCATTTGTAGGGTGACAGATTGCCATCGAGCTGTGCCACCCCACAACAATGGCTCAAAATTGCAGATGGTTGCAGAATGTAGATGAGGCTCAGTCTCCTGGGACAGAAACCTTACGTTTACCTTTTGTGCAGGAGACCCCCTTTGCAAACAATTCCTGCCACTGAAGATGCTGGAAATCTCTGGCCAAGCTCACTACAACCATCCCAAGAGGGAGCAGCAATGAGGTCTAAGCCACCCACTCCATTCCAATCCTGACCTACACCATTTAGCACCACTGCAACAGTCCCACCCTGCAAACCTGTTTATTTTGTTCAGCTCTTCCTGATAAGATGACAGGAGTGATCTTATAAACTGTTTTGACCATCCCAGCAGAAATATTCCACGTGGGAGAACAGGCACAAGAAAGCAATGTCACCCAAAGTGCTCTTAGTTCCATGGATGGGAATGGAGAGAAGGAATGGATGACACGCGTTTCTTATTAAGACACATGAAAGTCTTCAGCTCCTAACTGAGGACCCCAATATTGGGATCAACTGTGCCAAACACAAGTTGCTTTATTACCTCTCTGTTCAAAGCAATTTGTTTTTATTGACCACTCACCACACAGGGCACTACAGCACAGTCCTGCTCATTAGAGTCTATCAGTCAGAAGGCAAAAGAAGGCAAAAATGGGATTTAAAGAGAAGGCAGATCTTTGCAGTCATGAAGATACAGCTAGAGCTTGAGCACTGCCAGCAGGCAGCCTGGATTGCAGCAAGGAGCAGCAAATGATCAAGGCAGCTCAGAATTTCAGATGCTAACAGAAAATCCTTAAAGCAGGTGGAACCGTTTACCTCCTCTGGTCGGAGGAATACCTAGAAACCCACACAGAAACACAACGTATTCAGGAAAGCTTCACTGGGGCTCCAGCATTGGTTATTTTTGCCCCTGTACAAGTCTACCAGATGGGCCCTGCTTGCAATTGACCATAACTACCAGGTGCTGTTCCAATTAGAGGCTCCCCCTCTCACTTTGAAAGCAGCCAAATCAGGATTCTTTTTGTATACCCTACCCTCAGTTTCAAGCTCCAGTGAGCCTTTCCACCACGCAGCCCCACATGACACCCCCCTGTGCTAGCACCTTGCCTGTCATTACAGCCGAGCCATTTTGGGTCCAGCACAACCAGCCCCACTGGAGCCCTGTGCAGTGCAGCAGAGATCAGCTCGGATGCTGTCGCTGTAAGGGGCCAAACGTACAACAAACGGATAAAGCAGATGTGCAGTCTGGAGAAAGCAAGCACCCAAGAACTACCTGCATGAGGTAGATGCAGACTGGCCCAGTGGAACAATCAGCCCTATCATATATGTTTTGTTTTACTCCACAGCAGGCTGTTCAGCCCAAAACCCATGTCCTTCTTACAGTTCAGTTTCATGGTAAAACACCACCCACCCAAAGGCTTGAGGCAATGCAGAGCTGCCTGTTTGGGCTTTGCAGTGCAGAGAACACATCTATTTCTGGCATTACCCCTGCATGGTAGCTTGAGAACGATAGAATAAAGTATAAGAGACATTTTGAA